AGCCCCCTCCCCACACACACCTGGGCAGGTGAGACCCGCCCCCCCCCTTTCCATCCCCCCCCAAGATCAGCCTCCTCTTCTTCAGAGGAAGAAGAAGAAGAAGAAGAAGAGGAAGAAGAAGGACAAGAAAAAGGAGAGGAAAAAGAAGAAAAAAAATAAAAAAATAAGGACAAAAAGAGGGAAAAAAAGAAAAAAACAAAAAAAGGAAGGAAAAGAAGGAGAGGAAGAGGAGGAGGAAGAGGAAGTGGAGGAAGAGGAGAAGGAGGAGGAGGAGGAGGAGGGGGAAGGTAAGGAAGATGGGGGAGAAGAAGGTGAGGAAGATGAGGGGGAGGAAGCCCACCTGGCGGTCTCGGCGATGTTGCCCAGGCGAGCGAACTGCCGCGAGTAGGTGAGGCACATCTGGGAGGAGGAGGAGGAGGGGAGGAAGGCAGGGAAGGGGGAGAGGCAGGGGAGGAAGGAGATTTTTGGGGTATTAGCCCAGTTTTGGGGTTTCCTCCCCGTTTTTTGGGGTTTCCTCCCCCAGTTTTTAGGGTTTCCCCCCCTGTTTTTTAGGGCTTCACCCCAATTTTTGGGGTTTCAGCCCAATTTTTAGGGTTTCCCCCCCAATTTTTGGTGTTTCACCCCCATGTTTGGGTTTTACCCCCCATGTTTGGGGTTTTCCCCCCCATTTTTAGGATTTCACGCCTATTTTTGGTGTTTCACCCCAATTTTTGGGGTTTCAGCCCAGTTTTTTAGGGTTCCCCCCCATTTTTGGGGTTTCACCTCCAATTTTGGGGGTTTCAGCCCCATTTTTTAGGGTTTTCCCCCCATTTTTTAGGGTTTCCCCCCCATTTTTTAGGGTTTCCCCCCCGTTTTTGGGGTTCCAGCCCCGTTTTTGGGGTGCCCCACCTCGTGCTGCCTCTTCAGGGCCCCGGCCCGCTGCTGGAAGGTTTTGGCCACCTCGGGGGGCATCGGGGCCCCCCCGGCTGGGCCCAGCTCGAACTCGGCCCCGTCCAGGGGCACCTCGGGCACCTGCGGGCACGGGAGCTCAGGGGACCCCGAGATCGGGGGGTCTGGGGTGGGATTGGGGTGGGATTTGGGGTTTGGGAGCTCAGGGGACCCCGAGATCGGGGGGTCTGGGGTGGGATTTGGGGTTTGGGAGGGGAGGGCCGGAGAGCGCGGCCGGCGGCGCTGCGCGGCGCTGTGCAGCCCCAGCGCGGAGGGTGCGCGCCGGGCCCGCGGGTAGTAAGGAGGAGGAA